TGTAGTCAAGTTTTTCTGGAACAAACAGTAAATTCTTTTGGTAGAATTGAACTTTCTCAGGCAGGCGTTTTAAGGAGGTTCTGGGGTCATTCTAGGGACACATCCTTGGCCTGACAAAAGCCACTTGTCAAGAATTTGGTCAGTTAGTATGAGGGGAGTTGAATGGCGTTGTTTGTGCTACAAATGGAGTTTACAGTTCTCAGTGGCTGGATACATTTTATACAGAATTTCATGACCCTAGGCATTTTGAGGGATGATGAGACTGGAGTTTGTTTCATCTAGTCTTGGGAAGAAGAAAAGAACTTTCAGTGAAAGAAGAAAGGGAACAGGGAGGCTGGGTGCGGTGGCTCACGCCTGTAATCCTGGCACTTTGGGAGGCCGAGGCGGGTGGATCACCTGAGGTCAGGAGTTCGAGACCAGCCTGGCCAACATGGGGAAACCCCGTCTCTACTGAAAATACAAAAATTAGCCGGGCGTGGTGGCGCATGCCTGTAATCCGGGCTACTCTGGAGGCTGCGGTAGGAGAATCGCTTGAACCCAGGGGCGGAGGTTGCAGTGAGTTGAGATTGTGCCACTTCACTTCAGCCTGGGAAGAAGTGAAACTCAGTCCCAAAGAACACAAGGGAACAGGGAAAGCAATATTCTTGGAGAATAAAAAAGGGTCGGGGGAACAGGGAAAGCAGTATTCTTGGAGCCCAAAGTGAAGAAAGAGAACAGGGAAGGAGGCAGGAAGCTTACTTTCAGGGCCTGAGAAGTAGTCCAGGATTTTATTTTGTGATTTAAGTCCAAGAGGAATGGTATGGATCAGAGTAGTCCAGAGGAAGGCATGAGATCTCTGTTAACTGGAAATATTTGAGAAAGCTTTTTGGAAGAGGTAGAACCTGAGATGAGCCTTGAGGGATGATGAGTGGACTTTTCTTAGTTTAGCATTTTATCGTGGTATTTCCATGAAACCACATCTGATTTGAACAGAAATAAATTATAATTTCATGATTCAATCATTTGCTCGAAATATTTTATTTTTCTTTCAAGATGCTGTCCAAAGTTGGTGTTTTACTCACTTTTTGACTCTTGGTTTCTTGGTTAGTTTTCAGCCACATCTCTTCAGAATAGCATGTGCTAAAGGTTCTCCATGTTTTTGCACAGTCAGTTCGTCTGCCTAAAATACCTTCCAGTCCCCTAACTCCTGCCCCTCCATACATAGCCCTCAAGTAATTGTTAATCGTTCAAAACCCAGATGAAATAACACCCTTTCTTTGCTCCCACAGTACAGTGCTTTGTAATTTTCCTCTATTATAACTCTTATTCTGGTTGTTATAGTTAGTTTGTACTCTCAGTCCCTAGTTCAGCCTCTGGTAAATAGAAGGTACCTAATGTTTGGTTAATGATGCAATTCAATATAATCAGCTCTGAAATGTGTTTCCAGTGTTAAGAACTCAGCTATCTTACATGCATAGGTACAATATATATTTTGTTAACTGAATTCGTATTTGTTCTATTGTCATTAAGAGGATCTGCACTAGTGACAACTGTACGTCTTCCTGGAGAGCAAGTACAGGTTCAGGGTGTCATCCAGACAGCTCAGTCTTCTGTAATTCACCCACCGCATGTGCACACAGTACAGAAATTTGAAGACTTGGTGGTCAAGAGTTGGGACTTTTAGACCCTGAGTCTTCAGATACATTGCTGTTGCTGTACCTATAATATTATAAACCAAGATAAAGTTGTCTTATAAATTAGACTGCAGACCAAATCAGGCAAATAGAAAAGTTTTAGAATTTCTGGTTTCATGTATATAATACCTAGTGAAAATGGAAGACAATTTTAGGTAAAGTTATTGCTAATGATTTAAGGAAATGAAGGACTTTTTTTAAAAAGGGAAAGCACCCTTTTATCCCAGGTACTTTCTATATGCTTTATGGAGTCAGTACTTACCTACCGTATAATTTATGGAGGTCAAATAAAAGAGTTCTCTTGTTGTAGAGGAAAGTTCTTATTTGTATTTATCTACCTTCCTGTTAATGCCTGACAAAAGTAGGAAAGAGCGAGCCATCCTAGATTCCTTTTCTTTCTACTTTTCCCATTTTATCTTCCGATTTCTGTGAGTCCCAGAATACCTTTAGTCATCTCTCATGTTTAGAAGCAGCTCTCCTAGAAGAAAAGCTGTATTTCTCATTTTCTTCTCCTGATTATGGCAATGTTGTCAAAACTGGAGCTGCATCTTTATGTGGTGTTCACATGTGAAAGGAGGTGGCTGCATGGATTTTTTAGTTTTTATATGAAAATTTTACTCTTATTTGCTGGTGCTGTTATTAAAGATAAATTATTTGATTTTAATTACAAGTAATTCCTTAGTTTTACAATTTATTTTCTTAAGTTCAATGGAAGACTTTGGAGTAAGCTTAGGGACAGACAGTGTAGTTTTATAAGTTAGATTAGAAATGAA